ATAAAATTGCACTTCTACAATAACCATAATAACAACTGCACAAATATCAATAATTCTATGAAAGACCTAATAAACACACAGGAATAGAATAAGTAAACCATTAAAAAAACTATTTGCAAGTGATAAAAATAAAATTATTACAATTATCGTAATAAGATCATTACTTACGTTGCCCGCTGCTCTCCATGAAGTGTGCAGTGTTGATCGTTTTGCCAAACATGCAATATCTGGGCATCTTTGTCCCCACAACACCTGGAAAGAAGGAGAAGGGGGGGGGGAGAGACGGAGAAAGGGAGAAAGTAGGGAAGGAGAGAGAGAGAGAGAGAGAGAGAGAGAGAGAGAGAGAGAGAGAGAGAGAGAGAGAGAGAGAGAGAGAGAGAGAGAGAGAGAGAGAGAGAGAGAGGGCGAGAATTAATAACTGTGATAAGTATTATCCATTTATATATGCTATGCTTAAATTCAATTTACAAAAACGGACAACCTCATAAATGAATAGAAACACATTTACACAGAACACGCGAGGACACACACGCAGATGCATATACAAATACCCAGAAAGCAGTCATGGACCTTCACGCCTTGGAACACGCACTCACACACACACACAACCCCCCCCCCCCCTCAACACACAGACACACACACTAACCCTCCCCAACACATACACACAACTCCTCCCATCCCCCCAACACACACACAAAACCCCTACCCCCAACACACACACAACCCCTCCCTTCCCCCCAACACAAACCCTCCCCCACCCTCCAACCTCCACCCCAGGCACACACACACACACACACACACACACACACACACACACACACACACACACACACACACACACACACACACACACACACACACACACACACACACACTTACCTGCCACACAAGTGCCCGTATGCAGCCCGATCCGCACTCTGAGCATCTCCCCCTTCTTGTGCAAAAGCTCGAACCTGGACACCATGTCGAGGAGCCGGAGGGACATGTCGGCGATCTCTGAGGCATGCTTGCTCCCTTCAGAGGGTAAGAGAGTGTATATAAGGGTGTATAGGTATGGGTATATATTCATCAAGGTCTATGTCTGTCTATCATATATATTCAGATATAAATATATATGTATGTGTGGATATATCTATGTTTGTATCTATACTTTTCTAACTGTTTATCTGTTTATTCGTCTATCTATCTATCTATAATGTCCTTTTCTTGTTAATATACCTCCAATCAATCTCAACCCACCCACCCACCCACCCACCCACCACCCCAGCCCACCCCCCCTCAACCCACCATTCCGATTGGGCAGTCCCGAGACGACCATGTAGGCGTCTCCGATCGTCTCCATCTTATACACGTCGAACTTTTCAATGCTGGCGTCGAACTGCTTGTAGAGGGCGTTGAGGAGCATCACCACCTGGGGGGGAGAAAGGGGGGGAAGGAGAGGGTGTGATAAATGGGGTGTGGAGAGGAGAAGGTGTGATAAATGGGGTGTGGAGAGGGAGATGTGATAAATGGGGTGTGAAGAAGGAGAGGAGAAATTGTGGTGAAGGGGGTGGTGAAGAGGAGGAAGGAGAAAAGAGAGTGTGATGATTGGGGTGTGAAAAGGAGGAAGGAGAGGGTATGATAAACGGGGTGTGGAGAGGGAGAAGGTGTGATGAATGGGGTGTGGAGAGGGAGGTGTGATAAATGGGGAGTGAAGAGGAGGAGAGGAGAATGTGTGATAAATAGGATATAGAGAGGAAGATGTGATAAAGGAGGCATAGAGAGAATGAAGGAGAAGGTATGATAAATGGGGTGTGAAAAGAGAATATGATAAAGGGGTGTCAGGAGGAGATGTAATAAACAGAATACGAAGAGGAAAATAAATTAAGGAAATATAGATAAAGAAGGAATGATATAAAGAAGGGAAGAGGCGGAGACGGCGATAAAGAGGTAAAGGAAGAGGTGAGTGGAAAGAGGGATAGAATGACAGGGAGAAAGTGAGATGAAGGAAGATTAAAAGAATGAGAATAAGGAAGAAGGAGAAGAACGCAAGATGGGAGAAATAATAATAATAATAAGAAAAGGGGGACGAAGGAGGAGGAGAAGGAGAAGGAGAAGAAGAAGAAGGAGATGGAGGAAGAGAAGGAGAAGGAGAAGAAGAAGGAGAAAGAGAAAGAAAATGAGAAAGAAAAAGAGAAAGAAAAGGAAAAGGAGGAGGAGAAGAAGAAGGAAAAGATGGAAGAAGAAGAGGAGGAAATAGAGTTGAAGAAAAAGGACGAAATCAAAAGAAATAGATGAGATAAACAAACAAAAAAGATTTAATAGAAGAGTAAGGACAAAACAAACAAACAAACAAACAAACAAAAACTAATAACCTCAACTACAGCCACAACACAGAAATCACAACCCCCCCCCCATACACAACTACAACCAGACAGACACCATATAAACTTACCATCGCTACACTGGCAACTGGCAACTGGCAACTGGCAACCGACAACTAGCAACTGACAACTGACAACTGACAACTGACAAATGACAAATGACAAATAACAAATGACAAATGACAAATGACAACTAACATCTGACAAATGACAAATGACATCTGACAACTGGCAACCGACAACTAACAACCGACAACTAACAACTGACAACTAACAACTAACAACCGGCAACTGACCTGCAAGGGGCTGCTCTCGGACGAAATGCGCGTGAAGCCAACGATGTCGCTGAGGTAGATCGTCACAGATTCGAAGTACTCGGCAGGGACCTTTGGAGCAGGGGAAAATAGGGGGGGGGGGAGAGAGAGAAGGAGAGAGGGAGAAAGGGAGAGAGTGGGGGAGAGAGGGAGAGAGAGGGGGAGGGAGGGAGAGAGGGGAGAAAGGGAGAGAGAGGGGGAGAGCAGTGGGAGAGGAGAGAGGGGGAGAAGGAGTGAGAGAGAGAGAGAGGAGGGAGAGATGGGAGAAAGAGAGGGGAGAAAGAGAGAGAGAGAGAGAGAGAGAGAGAGAGAGAGAGAGAGAGAGAGAGAGAGAGAGAGAGAGAGAGAGAGAGAGAGAGAGAGAGAGAGAGGGAAAGTTATTGTTATCATTAGTGTCATTAACTGTTGTCATTAGCACTACATTACTACTACTACTACTTTCATTATTATTACTATTATATTTGTTATTATCATTATCATTATTTTTATAATGACTACCATTATTAACATCATTATCATTATTGTTATAATTTTCTACTTACGTTTTATGGCAGTTGCAGATTAGGAGAAATAGGGAGGGAGGGAGGGATAGGGAGAGAGAGAGAGAAAGAGAAAGAGAGAGAGAGAGAGAGAGAGAGAGAGAGAGAGAGAGAGAGAGAGAGAGAGAGAGAGAGAGAGAGAGAGAGAGAGAGAGAGAGAGAGAGAGAGAGAGAGAGAGAGAGAGAGAGAAACAGGCAGACAGAGAAAGAGAGAAAGAGAAAGAGAAAGCGAAAGAGAAAGAGAAAGGGGAAGAGAAAGAGAAAGAGAGACAGACAGACAAAGATAAAGACGGAGAAACAGACCGACAGCCAGCCACAGAGCCCACCTGCTTCGACTGCTTGAGGTAGGTGGCCACCGTCCGAGGCAGCAGCTGGTACACGAGGTTGTCGCTCTTTCTCTTCTCGCGTTTAACCTCTCCCGATTTTTTGATCAAGTTCTTGGCGTATTCCTGTCGTGGTTATGTCATTCGTCTGAATATACATACATGGTTGCATGTACATACTTACATGCTGCACGTACGTATATACATGGATTCATGTACGTACATACATGACTGCACGTAAGTACATGCATGGCTGCGTGTGCACACTTACATAGCTGTGTGTACGTACATACATGGCTACATGTATATACTTGCATAGCTACACGTACGTACATACACAGGTGCGCGTATATACATACATAACTACCCGTACATACATACATAACTGTACATACATACGTACACACATAACTACACGCACAGTCATCTATAGGTGCACGCGCATACATACATAGCTACACGTACATCCATACATAGCTGCACGTGCATACATACATAACATTATATACAAACATACATAACTGCACATACATACATACAACTGCACTTACATGCTTACATACACGGTTTCTGAATGTAACGTCATAAAAATGTTTTTTTATTTAATAACATTACATGTTAATTTGGATTTTTTTGTTTGCTGCCCTTAACTTCTAGAGTTATAATTCTGTAAATAAGGGAATAAAGCCGCGATTTTCTAAATTGAATATTACTTCATGAAATAAAAAGGGTATGTTATATCTAAACTTCAGGGACATTCCTTTCCCTCCACCCATCCACTCCCCCCCTTCCTCCCCCTCCCCTCCCCCTCCCACTCACCATCCACTCCCTCCTTCCTTCCCTCCCTTCCTCCCCCACCCACCCATCCCCTCCACCCACTCCTCCCCCTCCCACCCACCTACCCTTCCTCCTTCCCCCCTTCCATTCCCCACTCTCCCCCACTCCTCTCCCTCCCACTCAACCCCCCCCATTCCCTTCCTCCCTCCCACCCACTCTCACCCACTCCATCCCCACCATCCCCTCCTCCTCCACCTCCACCTCCTCCTCCACCTCCACCTCCACCTCCACCTCCACCTCCATCTCCACCTCCTCCTCCTTTTCTTCCTCCTCCACCTTCACCTCCCCCTCCTCCTCCACCTCCTCCTCTTCCTCCTCCCTCCCCCTCTCCACTCTCCCCCCCCCCCACTCACATGAATGAGCCCCGTGGCCTTCCTCACGAGCAGGATGATGACGGGGGAGATGACCAGCACGAGAATGAGGACCATGAGGGTCAGGCTGTAGCGCTGGTCGGCCGCCGTCACGTCGTCGTCGATCGTTTCTCTGCGGGGGGGGGGAGAGGAGGAGGAGGTGGAGGAGGTGGAGGTGGAGGAAGAGGAGGGGGAGGGGGGGAGGAAGAGGAGGAGGTGGAGGAGGGAGGAGGGAGGAGGAGGAGGAGGAGGTGGAGGTGGAGGTGGAGGTGGAGGAGGGAGGAGGGGGGGAGGATGGAGGAGGAGGAAGAGGAGGAGGTGGAGGGAAGAGGGAGGTGGAGGAGGGAGGAGGAGGAAGAGGAGGAGGAGGAGGGGGAGGTGGAGGTGGAAGGAAGAGGAGGAGGTGGAGGGAAGAGGGAGGTGGAGGAGGGGGAGGAGGAAGAGGAGGAGGAGGAGGGGGAGGTGGAGGAGGAGGAGGAAGAGGAGGAGGGGGAGGGGGGGAGGAGTAGGAGGAGGAGGAGGAGGAGGAGGTGGAGGTGGAGGTGGAGGTGGAGGTGGAGGAGGAGGAGGAGGAAGAGAAGGAGGAGGGAGGAGGAAGAGGAGGAGGTGGAGGAAGAGGAGGGAGGAGGGAGGAAGGGGAGGAGGAGAAGGAAGAAGAGGAAAATGAGGAGAATGGGAGGATAAGGAGAAATTAGGGGAATGGGGAAAATGAGAATTATTACTAATATTCTTATCATTAGCATTATCATCATCATTATCATTGTTATCATCATCATCATCATTCATCATCATTCTTTACACACACCCATAACTCTTCACTAAAACCCACAAAGTAACAGCCACACGCCCAGCAATATTCCCCACCGACTCACTGCTGACTCACCGCCGACTCACTGCTGACTCATCACCGACTCACTGCTGACTCACCGCCGACTCACTGCTGACTCACCACCTACTCACCACCGACTCACCTAATATCGTTAATAAGCGTGTACTCGACATCTCTCACGGAGTCAATGAAAGAGGCGAGTTCTTGAATATAATCGTCCGCTCGCTGGGCCGATGGCTCCCGTCTCATGTTTCCTATGATTTCCTTCCTGGTGAGTAAATATGAGTCATTAGAACCATTTCCTCTTCCTCTTCCTCCCTCTCCTCATATCCTTTAACCTCTCCTCTCTCTTTTCCTCCCTTATACCTCCTTCCTCATCCTCCGTATCCTCCACATTCTCTCTTTCTCCTTCATCCCTCCTTCCTCTCTCCTCGTTCTCCCTCTCTCTCTCTCGCCCTCTCCCAATCCCATTCTCTCTCTCTCCCTCTCCTTATCCCATTCCTCCTTTCTTTCCTTCTCCTCATCCCACTCTCTCTCTCTCCCTCCTTCCCTCCCCAACCCCATCTCTCCTTCTCCGTCCCTCCCTCCCTCCTTCCCTCCCCTCTCCCCACCCCATCTCCCTCCTTCCCTCCCCTCTCCCCACCCCATCTCCCTCCTTCCCTCCCTCCTCCCCCACTTTCCTCACCTCTCGATCAGCCTCTCCGCTATGTCCCCCGGCGCCCCCGCATTCCTCAGGAGCCCCGGGATGAAGGGCGAGATGATGATGCTTTGGTTGAGCCAATACCAGGCCATGGACGTGGCTTGTGCCCAGGCGAGGTACGTGGGCTGGTCGAGGACGCCGCGCAGGTAGTAGGCTGAGCCGTAGACCATGGCGATTCCGAACTGCTCCTCCGACTGCATGAGGTTCTTGTAGGTGACCAGGAGCCTGGGGAAAAGGGGGGTGGGGGAGGGGAAGGGGGGAGGGGGGGGTGGTTAGTTATTTGCGTGGGTGGTTGGCTGGATAGTTTGTTTGTGGGGGAAATGCCCGTGACTTGGGTGAGTCTATTTGTTGCAAAGAAGAAAACACAAGACAGGTGTGTTGATACAGATACCCGTATACCATACATATGTCAACAAGGGATAACCAAAGGTCACCAAAGGTCACCAAAGGGTCGCCAAGGGGTTACTGACCTCCACATGCTGGACACCTCGGCCTCCTTGACCCGCGTCTGCAACACGCTGAGGAGGACGCTGTTGGCCCGGTTGTACCACGACGACACCTTCGTCACCTGCGACTCGTACGGGTTGATGGTGTTTCTGGAAGGACGAGGGGACGGTGAGGACTTGCATAGGGTCACTCACTCCCACACACACACACACACACACACACACATACACACACACACACACACACACACATACACACACGCACGCACATAGACACATACACATACACAGACACAGACACACGTACATCTAAATGGTTTCTGTGGCTTTCGGATTGTGGTTAGATGTCCCCAGTATCCACGCGGCATAAAACAGGCATAATCTCAACATCAGTTTAGCAGTTGTGTTTGGAATCCTTATTTGAGGAAGCCTTGTGTTCATATTCCTTTAAGTAGAACAAAATGGTGGCGTTTGATGTGCTGCGAAACACACACACACACACACACACACACACACACAGAAGGAGAGAGAGAGAGGAAGTAGGAGAGAGAGAGAGAGAAGAGAGAGAGAGAGAGAGAGAGAGAAGAGAGAGAGAGAAGAGGAGAGAGAGAGAAGAGAGAGAGAGAGAGAGAGAGAGAGAGAGAAGAGAGAGAGAGAGAGAGAGAGAGAGAGAGAGAGAGAGAGAGAGAGAGAGAGAGAGAGAGAGAGAGAGAGTGAGAGAGAGAGAGAGGAGAGAGAGAGAGGAGAGAGAGAGAAAGGGAGAGAGGAGAGAGGAAAGAGAGAGAGAGGAGAGAGAGAGAGAGAGAGAGAGAGAGAGAGAGAAGGAGAGAGAGAGAGAGAGAGAGAGAGGGAGAGAGAGAGAGCCATTGCCTCAGCGAGGTCTTAGTGATCTCCACCAGCCTTCGGTCCCCCAGAAGACATCGTATCATCTTCATTTACTGTACCATAACAATAAAAGAGTCAAGCCCTGTAACAAGCATGACTACCCTGCCAGCCATTACAGTGAAGCACTTGCAACTTATAACAGAGAGAGAGAGAGAGAGAGAGAGAGAGAGAGAGAGAGAGAGAGAGAGAGAGAGAGAGAAGAAGAAGAAGAAGAAGAAGAGAGAGAGAGAGAGAGAGAGAGAGAGAGAGAGAGAGAGAGAGAGAGATAGTAGATAGTAGAAAGAGAGAATACCTGCATCACAGCCGTTTCCTGTATCTGAAATCAATCGGCTTATTAGAAGGAAAAAGCAGGGCGGTTGACTTGTGAGCTTGTGATGTGTCTACTGTGTCGATACCTGTTGTGTCTATAAAATATAAGACTGTGAGAAAGTTAATCTATCAACGTATTTTCTGTATATCTAAAATCGAGGTGTGTATTCATATATCTTTCTCTTTCTTTCTCTCTCTTTTTCTATCCTTATCTACCTTCTCTCTCCAACTCTTTCTCGCTCTCTTTCTCTTTTTTTTCTCTCTCTCTTCCTCTTCTCTTGTATGTCTAACTATATCTATAACGCATCTATCTATCTAGCCACGAGCCTCCCTAACTCTGTATCTATCTCAGCATACAAAAACAGCACTTTCAACACATCATGAATATGCCTATACATCAAAATACATCCAAAATACATCAAAATATATCATAATATAAGCATATTCACACACCCACATACACCACAATACATCACAATATATCACGTTATATCACAATACAAACATATCAAGACATGTAAATACATTACACAAATACATCCCAATATATCCAAATACATCACGATACACCTAGATACATTCCACCATACCCAAATACACCCCAGCATGCCTTAATACATCCCGTCACACCCTAATATATCCCATCATACCCTAATACACCCCAGCATACCCAAATATACCCCAGCATACCCCAAATACACCCCAGGATACCCCAAATATACCCCAACATACCCGCACACACCACGAAAAGCCTCAATACGTCTTAAACACAACTTTACACGCCGGCTTTCTCTGACCTGAAATCCTCCAGGCGGATCTGGAACCTGACTCTGGACGTAAACATCTTCGCGTTGGCTTGACTCGTGCCGTCGATCTGGGGCCACCTCGTCACGCTCTCCAGGAGGCTGTCCGTCCGGTCGAAGACGGTCGAGATGTTGCTCCTGCAGAAGGGGGAGGAGGAGGAGGAGAGGGTGAGAGTGTGTGGAGGGGGAGGGTGGCGGGTGGGTGTTTGGGGTGGAGGAGCAAGACGAAGAAAAAGAAGAAGAAGAAGAAGAAGAAGAAGAAGAAGAAGAAGAAGAAGAAGAAGAAGAAAGAAAGAAGAAGTGTCGTAGACACACGAAAGCAATGTCACATGAACAATACAAGGGCGAAGCGGATGCTATATGAATGGGTGTAACAACAAGCCAGGAAGAGACATCAAAAATAGAATACCATAGTGGAGATTTGAGCGGACTTCACACGAAAAATGTGGTCAACAGGATAAGACAAGGATACGAAAAATAGAGGCGCACTATGACGTCAAAATATTGAAAACATCACGTGACAAAGTGACGTCCCATGACAAACGAAAAGAAGCAAAAAAGAAGTCACGAATGCGAAAACAAGGAATAGTTTGAAGTGATCGCAATATATATCACAACACACCAGTCTGGGAACAAGAAAATAACTCTGAGAAAAAGTTTAAAGTGATAAATACAGCGTTGAAAAGTTGCTGGGACACAGGAAAGTCCTGACGCAGGTATCATTCAAATTAGTGAAAATAAAATATCTTACACTCATAATAACTGTTAAGGTGTGGCCGGAAGGGCTTCCATGATAAAAGACGCTTAGTGACAGACAACGGCAGACTAGTAGCATCCAGTAGCCATGTCATTTTTGTGGCACATCTTGGAAAGCCAGGTTGAAGTGAGTTAGTGCCTTATCTTGAGGGAATATAGTGGATAGTGGGCGGGAGTGTGCCATGGATAATGTGGATTAAGTAGAATTTGGGATTATTTCTTGATTTATCGACCAAGAATTGTATTTGATTAAGTTAATGTTGGAAATAAGAATTATATAATGAAATGATTATAGATTTGATTTTCAAGTTTTAAGAAACATATAGTTGAATACTTATAAATTTGAATTCTAAGTGTAAGGATTTATTAAGTTAGTTTAGAAAGTATAGATACAAGTTGATGAGTTAAATCTGTGAGAGAAACATGACTAATATGAACTATAAAGAGTATATAACACTGAGAAGGTAATATATAATAATTGATGAAAAAGGGGCAACAACAGAAAAAAAAAGAAAAATAAGAAAGAGGAAAAAAAAGAAAAATAAG